CATGCATGTACGCGTGTATGCATGCATGTACGCGCGTTTGCATGCATGTACGCATGTATGCATGTATATTTGTTTGTACACATGTGTGCATGTAGGCATATCTCTCCATATTTTCCAGGGGTTAGCGTTTTCCGATTCATTCACCTTACCAGCTCTCCCAGCTTCACAATTGTTTGACGAATAGAAATCATTGTATGGATGTGAAATAACTCACATGTTTTTTGTTAATTTGATTATATTTGTTATTAGCTGAATTTTCATTTATAATGTTGCCAATGCAACGGAAATTGCGAGAGCTCTTTGACTGTAAGTAGCAGAAGGAATGACGGCAATCGAATGTTATGACAACTGATCGGAACAGATCTGCAGGTGCAGCAGCGTTTAGTTCTTTGCGGATTCACCTTATTAGCCATTGTCAATGCCTATACCATACGCCTGTGCTTGGATTTCTCACTAGATCGCATTGTGCGGGACTGCAATGAGTTGGCTGCAGTGAATCCCGTTAGGGTGCAAAGTGCAAAGCCACTTTTGGGAATCAATCTGCATGCGCTGAGAAATGCGCCAGAAGGATCGAGGAGGAGGACAACCCAGACACGTAAAACTGCTCCACAAGAGGACTTGGATATTAAATTGCCCTACAATGCGACAATAACAATTTCAAACAGCGCCGATGTCTGGACAAAGGAAGTGCAAGTTCTGGTCACCATATCCTTCTACACCGGCTACATGATCACCCACATTCCGGGTGGACGCTTGGCGGAGCGTTACGGCGGCAAATGGGTTTTGGGCTCTGCAATATTATGCTCCGCACTTCTCACGCTTCTCACGCCGACAATTGTTCGCAACGGTGGCCCCAATGCACTCGTACTTCTGCGCCTACTAATTGGCTTTTGCGAGGGACCCACCTTTCCGGCCGTGAGCGCTCTGCTGGCCCAATGGGTGCCGGAGAAGGAGCGCGGCCTGCTCTGCAGCTGTGTGCTGAGCGGCGGCGAAATCGGCATCATATTCATGCACCTGGTCAGTGGGCTGGCGCTCGACGAGCACAACTGGGCCATAGCCTTCTATGTGGTAGGCACCGGTGCGGTGCTCTGGTTTGTGGGCTTTGTGAGTATGCGTCACGTGTTTCTCAATAGCCAAACACGCCCAAGCATGTCGAGCCCAGTAGGGATTGCAATTGCTAGTCAATTGCCCAGACGGATCGTTCCCAGTTTATAAAGTTTCAAAGAAAATGGGTCTCATACAAAATGGGGGGAAAGCGGGTTTCAGGAATATTATCAATATGAAAAACTCTTTTGATTTTAAAAATATCTGATCCTGACTGGGCATTTATTAGTTCAGCTCTGCCGCTTATATATATTATTCTATATTTATTATACAGCTCTATAGATCGAATATGGATTTATAGCTAGCTTTTCGATTTTCCAAGATATTTCCCCAACAAACTCGGCATAGCCTTTATTTCTTGCACAGGATGCTTTAGAACAAGAGACAATAAGGAAGCTTCTTCGAATCTTGAACTGATTCGTCCTTTTCCGCAGATCTTAGTCTGCTACAGCAAGCCGGATGCCTCGCCGTATATTCAAAACACCGAGCGGGATTACATCAAGAGTCAGGTGAGCGATGAGCTCGTGACGGATGATGCGAACGCCAATGAGGTGGTGCCCTGGAGCAATATGATTATGAATGCACCCATTTGGGCGCTGATAGCAGCCAACATGCAGCATGACTGGAATCAGCACGAGCTGGCCCAGGAGCTGGAGCAGCTGCTACACGAGCTCGAAGCCAAGGGTAAATCATTTTGGATGGAGCTGGAGGCCAGTGTGCAGCTGGCGGCCCCACATCTCTGCAGCTGGCTGGCATCGCTCACGTCTGGCACGCTCAGTGACTATCTGATTGCCGAGGGGATACTGAGCCGGACGCAGACGCGTCGCCTCATGTCGTGGCTGGTCTTTGTATGCGTCACGATGTACATGCTTCATGACAAGGAGAACTGGGCAAGCGCATGGAGCATTATGGCCTTTGGAGCCTATTACGCGGGCATCAAGCTGCTGCCCCTGGACATGAGTCCGAACTTCGCTGGCACCCTGATGGGCATCTCGAACGGTCTGGGCGCTCTGCCCGGCCTGTTGCTGCCGATGTTGCAGCAACTGGAATCCGAATATGCCATCGTGGGCAGCATCCGTGCAGCGTTATGGCTAGTCTGTGCCGGGTACATATCGGGTGATGTGCAGTCCTATAATCGGGTGCGAAATCGGCCACAGAACCGAACCTGAGCTCTCAATGGTTAATTACAAATGTTTATATTGCTTTAAATCTAGGCTAATCTTAACTATTTGCATAGTTGGGACTTAGGCAATACTATTATTTATATATAGATGATCGTAATACACGAAAGGATACTTAAACGATGTTAGTTTCATTATCGTCGACTTTCATTGTTAAAACTAGGTGCACAATAACTAAAACGGGATTTTCCACATTTTTATATGTATATATAACATCGGGCTTATCGATTGATTTGTTTGATTAGTTTTGGGTGTGATTTTAGGGGTGGGAGTGGGGGAGCGGTTATCGGTATTAACATAGGTAGCACAACGAACGCGTAAATGCTGTGGCTCAAGCTGCGTCTGCCCATCCTGCTCCCCTCTACATGGACGCTTGTGAGAGAAAGCCGGACTGGGCCATGGCTGACACGGAATTCATGTCGATGCCCAGCTTGCGGGTGACATTGATTTGAGCTAGCGCCGCATTACGCAACGAGTAGACATGCACCAGCTCCGCCTGGCTCTTGGCATAGAGCAGCGCCTTCTCAAACAGATCAACGGCACGCTGCAGCTGGGCGCGCTGCACCTCAACGGTGCCGAGCGTCTCGTAGGCCAGCTCGCATTTCGGATCCACATCGATGGCGCGATTTAGCAACGTGACGGCGGCCTCAATGTCGCCGCGCCACTGCAGCATCATGATGGCCTGATGGACGAGCAGTGCCGGATTTGTGGGCGCCCTCTTCATGGCCATCTCGTAGAATTGCTGCGCCTGGGGGAACTGCTGCTGATCGGCCAGTACCTGGGCCATCAAGCTGTAGCACTCGACGCAGTCGGGAAACTTTTCAATTGCCTTCTCAAAGTCTTGTATAACGCGCTCCAGGCGCTTCTGATCGCCGGACATCAGCGAGAGACGATACTCGGCATAGCACTTCTGCACATTGGCAATCGCATGTTGTGGGGCCAAACGGACCGCCTTGTCGAACTCCAACAGCGCCGCCTCGATCTGCTCCAGCAGCAGCAAGATCTGTGCACGCTGATGATACACATCCGGATTGTCGGGCTTCAGCTTCTCTGCCTCCGCAAAGTCGGCCAGTCCCTTTTCGCGCTCCTCCGTCTGAATGAAGAGCGCGGCCCGTTTGATGAAAGCGTAGGCGCGCAGCGTCGTGTCCGCATCATCTGAAAGATTTCAACTGTGACTAGTTCCTAAACCTAAAATTGTGTAGTTTCCGCTTACCATTGGCTAGAATGGCGTCAAAGTCGAGCTTACTGTCGGCAAAGGAGCCGCAGAGTAAGTGGAATGTGCCGCGCATTAGCAACGCCTCCACCTTGTATTGTGATTCGGCCTCCGAAGATTCAATTTCCTCGGTGCATGCCGCAATAATTTCATCATATTTCTGCTCCTCGAATGCTTGTCGGGCGCGCAGAAAGCCGCGTGGCGGTGTATCTGCCACAGCCGAAGGCGGCACATTCATTGTCTGCAGCGGATCGGCTATAAAGGAACGCATGTAGGTGTTGATGAAGCTTGCCGAGGGCACGACAGGCACTCGGTCGCGCAGACCCTTCTCGGCATCCAGGCGGCCCGTCTCCTTGAGCACTCGGTCAGCGAACATGATGGTATTATTGTTCTGGAACATCTCCAGAATGCAGGTGGCGGTCACATCGTCCAGACACTCAATCATATCCTTGGTGGCCTCGTGGGCTCGTGCTCGCCTATAGTAGGCCTTGGCATAGCGCGGATTGTACTCCAGCGAGAGGGAACAATCCTCCTTGACCTTGTTCCACTTCTTCAGCATCTCGTAGGAGGCAGCGCGGTTCTGATAGAAGATTGCCATGTCCGTGCGATGCTCGGTGGGACACTTGTCGATGGCCTTGTCATAGAAGCTGATGGCCTCATCGTACTTGCCATTGCGATAGCAATTGTTGCCCTCCGTTTTGTAATTGTTGGCCTCCTTCAGCGGCGACAGCTGCTCGCCCAACTCGGCCGATTTCTTTTTGCGCTCCAGTTCCGAATCGGGAGCGGTGCCATCTATGGACAGCGTTTCCTCTATTTTGCCCTTCGGGCGCGTCTTGCCGGCATCCTTGGACTTGTTTTGCGACTTGCCGCGCTTGGTCTCATCGCGTGAACTTCTGTTGAGAACATACATGCCCAGGCCAATGGCCAGGGGAGTGCCCAATAAAAGCGCCACTTGCCATTTGTTTAGCTTAACTGAGTTCATGTTGAGGAACGTTGCCATTTGTGGGCCTTCCTAATGTGTGTGCAGCTTGTAAAAACTGCAAATAGAGAACATTGTGTAATAGTCGGCGGGCCTTATCACACGCAGAGTTCAGAGCGCGAACGCCGAATCGCTAAATGCCGGGGGGGCCATTTGTCACCTGCCCACACGCTGCCCTTCCCCTTATTGATTTTTAGCATGTTAGCAGTTCGGCGACGGCTGGCTACTCACGTTTGTCTTGTAATTTAACACTGCAATGAATTTTGCAAATATGAACTGTTACTTGAATGCTTTTTAGTGAAAAGTAAATACAAATTAATATTATGGAATACAACTAGCCTCCTTAGAAATAGAACACACCGAACCGAACAGCTGTGTAACCGTTGAGCTGCTGAACGACTGTTATGCACATGTGACAGCTGGCAGGGCATCCACAAAAAGCTCGTTGCTATAAGAGTCGTGCATTTGAAAAACTCACCATTTAACAGAATGTGCATGGGATCAACAGTTTATCCTATTAGAGTTAACATAAAATTATTGCTAGAATATACCGTATTCTCAATTTGCATATGATTTGACATATGTATATCACATACAATTAAAGAACAATTTTAATTGATTTCGCATAAATAAGTTATTTGGTAGAAGCCTTAATTATAAATAGCACTAACCGGAAAATAAATATGTTGATAACAGCGTGTACGGGTAGTTAAACTTTTTATATAAGGTCAGGCCGCAATTTCCGCTTTTACTGTATTCGCGTTCATAACATACATATACATATACATACATACATACGTATAGTAGGTGCGCATTTTACATTGAAGTTTATTGATTACAAGAACAAAGGAAAACATGTGGTTGACGATGATCGCAAAGCGTTGAGTTTAGTGCAAATGAGTTCAACCGAAAGGCTATAAATATGCACTCACACACCCAGTGCAACAAGTATGTACATATATGAAAAGCTCTTTTGTAAGTGTGTAAGTTTTCGTTGCGGCAGATCTGAACTGCAAGCGTTGTTAGTAGTTAAGTAAAAACTGCCGTTTGTTTTAGTTTTTCTTTTGTTTTTATTTTCATAAGTTATAGCTAAAGCAAACTTCATAATTTGAAACGCACTAAGCTTAACACTAAAATTATAAGTCTGTAAGTATATGTATTAAATTTAGGAAATTGTTTAAACTAGAACTATTCAATACGTAATTCCAGTGTGCTTTTCCAGCGACAGCCGACAACAACAATGCCAGCTGCCGCCGAAGCAGCTTTTGCTCTCCTTCTTCTTCTTCCCCTTGCCTTCACTCCTTTGGGCTGCTTTTCAGTTCAATTTCTACCTTTTTCTCTTCTCTGGCTGCTTAAATTCAGTTTTTTTTTATTGTTTTACTTTTTTCTGTGTTGTTGTGTCTCTGCCTTGGCGTGCCTGTAATATCAGTTCTTCACAGTTTTCTTGTTGTTGTTGGTGTTCATCAGTTTGGTCAAAATCTTTCGCGAATGGCCAGAGGGGTCAAAGTGGTTGGTGTGCTCGCTGGCCTCCTTCTTGGAGCGCTGTTTGCCGCTGTGGCCCGAAAAGATGTGTTTGCCATGGTCGTAATTGTAGTGCTCGTATTCATCAAAGTGTGCCTCAGACATGATGTTCTTGATTTCTTATATGTATCTAACTGAGATCTTGCTTTTACAAAGTTTAAAGGGCTTCCTTGTTGACTTTTTTCGCTTTGTAGTTTGTTTTTGGCTGGAAGTTGTTGTTTTGGTATACGCGTTGCTTCCACAGTTTCTCGATGTTGTCGCAGCAAAATCCAAATGGAAATTGAACTTTTTCTCGCTTTCAAACACCTGGTTTTATACGCGGCCAGAGCTTTTTCTCGCACAGTTGGCGAGAGGCTTGCAGGCTTGCTCTCTGAGAGCGAGAGTGAGGCCTCTCTCTAACTGGCTGCTTCTCTCACAAATGTCAACCCTGCTGGAAAATTGACAGCCCACTTTTTGCTATAAGAAAATTGATTATTTTTTATGGTTTTACCTGTGTTTGTGTTTTAGAAAAGCAGGTTTCTATCTACCACGATTTACACATAAAATACGATATTTTAATTTGGGTAGACTTTTTCTGTTATTTAGCTCCAAATGTACTGTTTATAGTTTGTATATTTGGCTAATAATGAATCGATTTCCAAATGGTTGTACCTAAAGGAAAGTTCACCACAAAAAGCCTACTTCGATTTAAAAAGGTTATTTGTAGTCTGGAAGTTTCGATGCCATTCACCATTGGGCTTTCGGTTTTTCTGCTCTCTCCCGTTTTTTCTCTCTCTCTCTCTCTCTTTCGCTGTCAAAATGTGTGAGCGTAAAGTTCTGTGTGGTAGCTTTTAAACAAATTTTGCTGCGCAATTTAATTTTTGTTGTGTTTACAAAATGCGCGGTAAACAAAAACAATAAAAGCAATGACAACGGCAAACATGTATGTTCATATATATTTGCCCCGGCTATTTAAATTATTTTAAATGGCTTTCATAATACACACGTTTTTCCATATACGTACATACATACACATGTACATGCTTGCAATTGTTCTTATATAAGGCCACGTTGTCAATGGCTCGGAGAGTGCATGTAGCATCATGTTGCATCACCATCAGGTAGCGAACACATGTTGAATTTTCAAGTCATTGGCCGGCTCATTGCCACAAATTTTCCGTTACAAATAAAATGTCAACATTAGACGAAAACAAAATGAATACTTGTCCTCCTCGAACAGCTGACGTGTATGTGCGCACGTATGTAAGAATAAATATTTGTATGTGTGTTCGGCGTATATCTACATTATCTGTGTATGTGTGCATTTAAGACTGAAGGCCTGTCTATTCGTCAGTTTGCGCTCCTCTGTCCGCCGACCCAGTTCCCCCCATTCGCGATTGGTTTAAATTTAGAAAAAAGCTTTTAGTTTAATTGTTTGCCCATTTGTTTATATAAATACAATTGTTTACAAATCGAATTTGCCGGTGATAAGATTTGTTCAATCTTATCAGCGCGGATCCAACAATGCCAGACGTGTTAGTCACCCAACATTTCGGGTTTTCTCGAACTAAGCTAAAACAAAAAAAAAAAAAGTTCCATGTGCTTCCCAAAATTCGAGAAACATCGCAATGGAAGATTCACGAAGCTTTTCAAGAGAAGCTCATGTGGCCTGCTCAGCGTACCAGCCTCAGGCGGTGCAGTGTTGAACAAAAAGCTCCGCAATTATAGCTTGATTGTTGTCTGTGCTAAGTCTTAAGCATGTTTTTCCTATCTGGTGTGCGTGTCTTGGCTAAAGTGGGATTATCGCTGGATTTATGTATGTATATATGTGTGTATATGTTTATTTATTTTCCAAAAGAAGTGAAAATGGGAATAAGTGAGCGAAAATCGAATCGGCCCTTAGCCAACTGCCTGCTTTTGCTGGAACCTTGCGTCCTGGTCATCTTCCTCAAGCATCTCCTTTATTTGGCTGGTCAGATGGACCATCAGGCGACTCTCGTCGTGATTAAAGAGGCTACTCTCCGTAAGACCGGCCAGTATGCAGCTGCGTATTTCCTCCGCCTCGTAGCACAAGGCGATGCGATTGTTAAAGTGCGTAGACCGTTCCGCAACGGGCAATTCGAACTGGAAGTCCCTATTCTCGAATGTCAATTCCGTGGGACACCACAGACTGTTCATCTGCAAGGATTAGGCTAAGAATTTGCTTTTCTTATCGTTAATCCGAGCTACTTACAATCGCACTGCCCTTGGTGCCACGTATGGTGGCCGTGTTCTGGAGATCCTGCTCGGCGCTGAGCACCAACCGAGCTCTCCGATTGCCCTTAAAGATCAGATCTATGTCGGCTGCTACATCAATGCCATCGCGATTGAGCTTTCCCGATACCCTCAGCTGTTGCGGCACCTCTCGATAGACCCAGAGCGCCAATTGAATGCCGTAAGGTGCCAAATCTTTGGCCACGCCTGCGTATTCCGCCGCCTTGGGCGAAGCGGTGGGCAGCTGCCAACCCAATGTGCACTCCACTGCGAAGATCCTGCCCAGCTTACAGCGCATGATCTCATGCCGCAGAATATGGTAGGCGGGTATGCAGCGCGGCCAAATACCCTCCATTAGAAACAAGCCGCGTGCCCTCGCCTTGCCAACCAGCTCCACCACCTGCTGCTCAGTCATGCCCAGCGGCTGCTCGCACAGCACGTGCTTGTCATGGTTGAGCATCAGGTGACACAGTTCACAGTGCATTGCGTTCAGCGGCGATATGTAAACGGCGTCTGAAAAACTCCAAATATTTAGCTACTCTTACCTCTTAACTTATTCCAAATGCCTTCTAAATAAAAATAATAATAATAATAATAATAATGTAGAGGGCAACAAATTTTTGTATAGATCTTTAGAGGAACTTCACATTGAAGTCTTAAGTGCAAATTTTGTGGTCTTAGCTCTAAAATTGCGAAAGCCACAAAGTTTGACCCAGTTGATGTTCCCACACAACCTTTCGAGCTCAAAGTATTTCCTTATTTCTATCTAAAATAACATACGGACGGATGGATGGACAGCAAGACGTACATACTACACAACTAATATACCCTCTTCACTTGTAGAGGGTATTATGATTTGTAGGTGGATCGATAGATCGGACCACTATATCATGAAGATATCTAGATTTATTCTGGATTTGGCGACCTGTGCTATCTGTATTCAGCTGTACTCACCCACATCTGGGCAACGTGCCAGATCCTCGAAGCTGGTGTAGATCTTGGGCACACGATGCTTGTTGGCGAATGCGGTCGCCTGTGATCGATACGCGTCCATGCAGGAGGTGATGCTGTGCCGGTGGGCGGGCAGGACGCTTAGGGCTGTTGCAAAGTCTTCGGTCATGAGATTAACGGGCGCAATGCCCCAGCGTAAGGTCTGTGGCGGCTGCTTCTCGCCGCATTTGCTCTGCATACAAAGTGGGCGTGGCTCGATGCTGTCCACACTGCGGCCATGCAACTGTCTCTCTGCCGCCACAGGCAGAGCTGCGGGCGAGGAAGGAGGGTAGCCAGATTAGCGGAGGAGCGCCATATACAGCTAAAACTACGACAACGACAAGAAGGAGGGGGAGGAGGAGGAGGAGGAGCGGCGTCGCGTAAAACTCATTTCATTCATACAATTGCAATTGCATGGTTTGTTTTATTTTTATATATATTTTTTTTTTTCTTCTTCATTTTTCCACGAATTGGCGAAATTGCGGGTGTTGGTGTCTGTTGTATGTTGTTTGCGTTTTGTTGTTTGTGGTTTGCTGTTTGCCGTTTATACCCAACTGGTTACTGGTTAGCGCTCACCAGGCGGCGCAGTCGGGCCGGGAGACGATCTCGCAGTCGGACTGCCCATCTACGTCGAAACGAAGACGACGATCGCATTATGTGGCGCTGTTTAGTGCGCGCCAGTCTCAGTTCCTCCATAATTAGTCATATTTGTTTAGCATCAAAACTTGTGAATGACTGTGGATCAGCGTCATCTGCTCGACAGAGATGAGCACGTGCCAGCCCAGTCAACATTTAAGCCAATGGGAAAATAGCTTAGCTGCCCGACTAGATTAATAATAACATGGCTTAAAGCATGTAAAGCTGCCTTTAAAAGGCTTCGTTGTAGGCGGCTTAAATCTATATATAATAATAATATATAAAAATAATAAGTATATATATTATATTATAACTGATCTCAAGTTAAGCTAATTTGAGGTTCAAATTGGGCGAAATAAGTTGAATTTGTTTTGCATTTTTTTAATTTACACTTTTAGTTTAGCTTGAACAGGAATAGAAAGTATTCAGTTAAGGTTGAAGTTGTGCTTATTTAATTTATCTATACAGTAGATCGGGAATATCTTTTGTATCTTCTAACTGCCCGACAATTATCTATTGGATTTTTAGTCTAATTTTGATTGTTTGTAATTTTACACAAGGAATTTTCAGCTCTTTGTGGAAAGCAGCATTGATTGTGTATCGAGTTGTTGGTGACATTTGTATTTATTTCCTAAATGCCTAGAAGTCGTGCGTGTTTGGCTGTTGGCAGCGCCGATGGCACGACACGAGGCCAGCTCGATGGACTGGCTCGTATCTGGCTGGTCCTGGCCAACTAAGGCGCTGCACGTTGACGGCCATTAGGCGGCGCACTTTACGCTCCTCGCTGCACGCTTCACGCTTGCAGTGCGTTCTGTCAGCGCTGGATTTTCACTTTCTTTTAGAAACTGTACGGCAGTTGTTTGTTTGTTTTGTTTTTTTTTTTTTTTTCACTTTTCAATAATTCGAATTTCGAATGCGTGCAACAATGTGGCCAGAGAGCGCCGTAGGCAGCCAGCGCACCTGAAACAAAAATTTGTTTATCTAATTAGCTATGCACCGGGGCGACAACAACATTTCACTCGCTTCGGTTTTCGCTAGCATTGGCATGCACGGCACGGCACGGCAGGTGTACAAATCGAAACTGGCCCTAACCCAAATGCAAAGCAACCGAATGAAAGTGTTCTACGCACAGCGCCCGGAAGTTGTGGGTGAAAATACCATATTATTATGGCCAGTGAAAGGTTGCCTAATTTCGGCTCGTTAAACGTGCGTTCGGCTCGGCCTGGCCAGGCCAAAGCCAAACAAATTTCTTGTGCTGCTGTTTTTTCCACGGCCACATATCCATTAAAGCCGCACAGCCGCGCAGCAGCAGCAGCAGCAGAAAAAAAAAAGAAAAGGAAAAACAAATTTGCATGCTGACAACATAAATCGTTTCGCAAAATATTTAACAAGTCAGCGGCAACAGTTGAAATCAATAAATTTATTGATACAATTTTTACGCAGCGAGGACGCCGGCATGCAACACGCAACACTACGCTAATTAGAGGGGCAGCCCCCATCCCTCACTTCTCCTCCTGGGCAGGAGGAGCAGCTAACTAAGCTGCATGCATCAATTTCTCATGCAAAGCAAAGCCGACAAAAGATGGGGGTAGATGGGTTAGGGCGGGGTAGGGGCGTGTGGAGTTGATGCTATAGTTAGCGGGAGGCTGTAGATGCTCATTTTTCTTGTGGGCGTGGCCAGCTCAAATTTGCACTTACAGCTTGCGTTCTTTTGTGAAAGTCATGGTTTGTCAAGTTCGTTGCCTAAGTCTTTTGTTTTTTTTTGGTTTTTTTTTTTTTTTTGCTTTCTCTGGCTGCAATTTTTGTAACATTTTTGCAACATTTCGCATTAATTAACACATCAAGCTAATGAGCTGCCCCAAAAAGAGGGGAGCTGCCAACAATATTGAATGATTGTTTTTTTTTTTTTTTATATATTTTATCCGTGATTTGTTGCTGCTGCTGTTGTTGTTGTTGTTGTAAGTCGTCAGCGTAAGCGCTTTTAATGGCTTTACAAGTTTTATGCTTGTCTCAAGCCTCGACGTCTACAAAACTCTTTGCATTTGCAACGCACACACCCAAACAACAACAGCAGCAACAACAACAACAACAACGAGAGATCGACAATAGTCACAGCCCTGGCATTGGATTGTCAAAGTTGTTGTTGCTGTTGCTGCTGCTGCTGCTGCTGTTATTTGCCTTAAGCTTTTAACATATTTTTCAATTTCAGCGCCAAAAAAAAACAACAAAAACTGTTTATTCAGTCAAATGCCAAAGATTGCTTTTTATGCAACACACACAAGACATGCCAATTGTTATTATTGTGCTTGTCCGTGCAACAAAAGCGAAAGCTGATCAGACGTTGACCGCCCAGCCGGCAGAAGAAGAAGCAACAACAACAACAAACTTCTTGCCAAGAGAGTTGCGAATGTTTAATAACTCTTAGCTCAAAATTGAGAGGTATGTGGCTGCAGATATATACTAATTATAATATGCATAAATATTTATATTTTATCTTTAAATTTTTTTTTTGTAAGTTTGGGCATATTTTATTTTTTTAAGTATTTAGAGAATTGATAAGAAAATTAAAATAAAGCCTAATTGAAGATAGCTCAATGATTGGTTAAGCATATCAGCTTATCATTCGATTTATCAGTTAGCTTATCATTCGATTTATCAGTTAGCCTAGCAGCTAGCTTATTAGAAAATGTATCAGCTAATAACTTTGCTGACTTCTCAGTTCATATTCGGGAAACTGTCCATCTAACAGGAAACCTAATAGCAGCAGAGTCTTACAGGTTGAGAAACAAACAGATCACCTCGCTCTACGATTCTCTTTCATTATTCATTTCTTCCATTTTCTTCTAACTTTATTCTATTTCAATTTAAATGGTTTTTTATTATTATATATAATCGCCTGCCTATCTATCCCATCATTTAGGCGATTTTATCGGAATTTTATTCTGTTGGGACTTTTAGACCTTTTTTTTTTTAAATTTAATTAAAACATTTAGTCGAGCATTTGTTTCACCTGCAGCTCTAATTAGCATTGAAATACATGAGGAATACAATTAAGCTAACTTTGATATCATATTAAGCGTAAAATTGTCTTCGGCTTGTTGTATTTGATAATCCGCAAGTAGACAACTTCATGGTCAGTCCATGCACTCAGTCAGTCAGTCAGTCAGTCAGTTAGTCAGTCAGTCAGTCAGTTAGTCAGCAAGATGTTGCAGTGAAAAGTGAGTCTGTTTGCATGAGAAGGAGATGTGGAAGGAGCGAAGCAACTAACCAAAGCCAAAGACAGCAACAAACGCGAAAAGACGACAACTTTGGCGTCTGCTGACGACGTCGACGTTGCCGGCAAGCAGCGACGCATTTATATTGATTCGTTTTGGTCAGCAGGCAGTGGCAGAGGCAGCGACAGAGGCAGCGGCAGAGACAGCGGCAGAGGCAGCGGCAGCGTCGGCGACAAGTGCAGCTGGCAATTGCAAAGTAAACGCCGCTCGGCTTGTCGTCTGCAGCTTGGATTGAGGGATGGAAGGGAGGTAGGTGGCGGGGTGGTCTGGTGTCTGAGTCTCGGTCTCGGCCGCTTGTCTGGTTCGTTGTACTGCGACAGCGACGCTGACTGCGCCGCACTGCGCTGCGCACACAGACGCTTCTTGGGCAGTTTCGAATTTGAGTTTTGGCGCACACAACGCGAAATCAGTTAACAAACGGACGCGTTTTGAAACGGATGCGCCGCAGCAACTACGCAGATCTGAAGCGAAGCGAGTTTCCTGCTCCTCGAAACGGTGCGAATGACTCTTCGGTCCCGGGCCCAAAAGTGTGTGTCTGTGTGTGTTTGGTTGCCTGGCTTAAAAGTGAAATTTACTGAATGAAATGAAATGAAATGTTTGCTAGCCCCCAGCAATTGCCAACGGAATTGGGAATGGGATTGGGATAGCGTTAAAGCCAAAGTTTAATAATTCGCTTGTGACTATATCAGCCAGTCAAGGAAATGACTGCACATGTTTTAAACGTCAAGTGTTAAATCCAAGACCAAAAGAGAAGGATTATACGATCAAGTAGGCTCTATAGATCTACAGCCAGTCAATTGTGTTTGTGTTCATTTCCCAGCGACCCCATTGTATGGTAGGTATTACAAGTTTACATCTATCTTCTGGCATAGATTAGTTAAATGGAAAAAAAGCTCTATGCATATTGCGATTCAAAAGTTATCAAAGAATAGAATATGACTGATATGATATGCTACTTAAAAGTGAGTGAAATATTGAAGATTGAGGCACAAAAATTCTTCAATTGAAATAAAGAAGAATCAGAGCTTAAGAGGCAACATTTCTAGAAGCTTACGAATGAATAGTGTTGGTTAACATTTCGAATAGACCTGATGGAACTTTTGATTTCATATTGTTTCTTGGATCTGTTTGCTTTTCCTAGATGTCCCATCGAGATCTGACTAGTCTGATTGAACAAACTTTCGATAAAAGCAAGAATAAAATTAAAAAGTTATCGATAATTAGTTCTATCGATTGTGTTCGATATGCTGCCAAGCTGGCAAACAACTAACGGTTCTTTTTTGTTGACTTTTGAGCGAACTCTCAGTTTTAGCGACGGATGTTGCGCTTGCAGCGAAATCGAATGCGCCAAGAATTAAGACGCTGCAGCAGCTGCGTCGATTGCAACAATTATAACGACAACAACAACAACAAGAAAAACACATCACTAATACGCAGCGTTGACAGCGCCAAGCGCCAAATGTTCGCGTTGAAGTTGAAGGAAAAGGAGACAATGACAAACACTTGCAACTGTCGATTTTAACGTCTGTGTGTGTGTATTTATCTTTCACTTAAAGCGAAGATGACATTCTTTAAATGAAATTAACTGCTAGCAGCAAAAACAACAGCAACTGCTGCTGCTGTTGCAACTGCTGCTGCTGCTGTTGCTGCTGCTTTGGCTGCAATTAGTATTTGTCTTTGCTAATACGCTGCCATGTTGGTATGTATCCCCAGTTTTGTTGTTGTTGTTGTTGTTGTTGTGGTCGCTTTTTATGTCACGCATAAAAAGTGTCGCACACTTGAATGAATCTTTTGGCTATGCTCTTGCTTGTCACTTAGTCGTCTTCGTCGTTGTCGTTGTGGCTGTTGTTGCTGCGCTTGTTTGTATGTTTATTGGTCTGTTTGTTTGTTTGCTTTTTGTTCAAGCATTTACAGCCGCCTCATTGGCTTAAGCGTTCACTTACAACAGCAGCCGTCACTTTGCATGCAAGCCGCGAATTCGATTGGCTTTTTGGGTTGGGCCATTGATTGCCGGCTTGGCTCTGTTGCGCTCAAAGATGCAGTTGCAGATAGTTTGAAGTATCGAAAGTACATTAACGCACATATGAAAACATGGCCCATACCCCACACGACGCAGCCACATACACACATATTTAAGTCGATCTGCAGCACCGATAAGTCACTTTTGCATCCGATTCACGATCCTAAGCGAAAATGGGCTACGCTATATTTTCACTGAGTGAAAAGCTAACTCGGCTTGCACAGATTACCAAACATGTTTATTAATATACGCTATTCAGCTCTAAGGCTGAGCAATAATATTATGATAATAAAAATAAAATTAGTAATAAAAATTGGTTTATGCTGCAAAGACAACCCCAAAAAATAGTTTGATCTGCAGTTATCGTACCTTATATATATATGCCCACAAAATAAAATTGTTCGTTTTTTATGTAGAAAAAGCCTTGACAACATTTCTTCCAACAATTCTTCTAAATAGACAAATCTACTCAAGGTTATTCTTCTATTTAATATCTATGCATAATTTCTTGCAATATCTCACAGATAATATAAAACATTTTGTGCATTGCTTTTGAAGCATGCTGCCATGGGGTGAAGAGTTCAATATTGGTATCTTTTTATTTCACTTGGTCTTAAATTGGTCTAAAAAATAAATATAGATATACATGTTAGATCATCGACGGCGACAACAGCAGCTGGCAGACTCGAGAGCCGCTTCCTGCGGTTCGTGCTGGCTTTTAAAACAAACTCGTTTAACGGCCAACTCGCAGCGCATTCATGTAAATATAATAAAAGTCAATTAAATAACACAAAAGTTATGCATAATTAAATGTATTATGCAAAACAAATTGCAAGCCCGGTTAAATAACACAAGACAAGACGATTGTGTAAAGACTGCCCATAATTCCTCCAGTTAGGCTTTTTACTGCCGCACTAGACTAGGCCCAATTTAAGTATTACAAGCGAGTGCTACCCGGCTTTGCACGGGCCAGGTTTTCTCTACAAATTCCATATAGCAACAGATTTTCTCAGTTGGAGGAGTGAAAAACGAAATGGTTCGTTTTTTATATAGAACAAGCCTTGATACCACTTCAATTATTCTTCCATAAGGTCTAGAGGCATGCCTTCAGCTTTCTGGGATGGACATTTTAACAAAGGCGCTAAGACAATGCAAATAATTGAAATGCTCGGAAAAGAAAAAAAACAGAACTCGAAGCTTATCTTCAGCCAGGTCTAATTTGGCTGAATCATCTCGTATTCTATTTAAATAGATTCTTTACTGTTTATTATATGAAAAGTGTTTTTTTCTTTAAATTCAATATTAGGCATCTGCTTTATGGTCTGGAAGTCTGTAGTAAATCTTTTTACCCCACTTTTTTATTTGGCATAAAAAATAAAAGTAATTAGCGCCAATTCTGTGCATGCTACGCCCCCCCAAAATAATACTCAGCCATCGTTTTTTTTTTTTTGGCAAGCCGTCGGTGAATTTTATTTGATTTTAATTGCCGGCCGTGCTGAGTTGTTTGCCATTTAATGGCTTTATTTATGCGTGTAGTAATCAAGTTAATTTTTACGATTGCCGCCGTGCAGCAACAGCAACAACAACAACAGCAACAGCAACGACAACGACAACGACAACCTGTGGAGCTGCAAAATAAATGCAAATTTTTGTTTAATGTTTCAAAATCGAAGCACTGTGCAAAAGTTTCACTTTCGTTGGGAACGCGTCCGATGACAGCGCACAGCGGAACGAGATCGTTGAGAGCTGAGCGCAACCCTAAGGACATGTCCCAAAAAAAAAAAAAGCTATCGCTGAGTCCATTTCAAAGGGGACCACCCAAAAAAATTAAAAAAAAAGCGCCAAAGCTGATGCCGCATGCGATATGTTTTTTAATAAAGTTGTCAGTTATGAGTTGCTCGACCCTCTTTCTCTCGGCAGACACAGCTCTGATGCATTGCTACATCTTTTAATCAAAACTTGGCACAATTTTGAGCGCAGAGTCTTATTAAAAATACAAGTCAGGAGTACCCCGTCTGAGCCCAGCGTTGAGCTGCAGCACGAATCTAGTTTCCTTCCAAAGACCCAAATACCCATTAAAAAAGGGTATTGGGATTTCTTTTTAAGCAATAAAATATTGGGAGAGTAGGGACCCACAAGAACAAAAGAAACCTTTGCATTGTCAATGTTTTCTTTGATTAATAGAACTAAAAATAATATAAAGAACATTTAATATAGTCCCTTAAGATTAGCAAGTTTGTTGTCTAAGTCATTTGTTTATTTTCATCTTCAGTTTACACTTCTGAATAAATTGTTCATAGCTTATAGAACAATTGGTATGAAATACTTTTTGAGCATAGTATCACAAAACATATATACTTAGATAATGTCAAGATAGGTAAAACCAATTGACCGCAAAGCAAGTTTGTTGCCTGAGTCTTTGGCTTGTAATCGAACGATTGAATCATAACAAAACATAATTTGCATTTACATTTGCAGATAACCCGCGCCGTTCCATGATGATTAGCGAACGCCACAAAACCCTCAATTTGGTAACAATATTTTCTTGCTGGCTTTGCCTGTACGCCGCATGCCCCGCCACCTGTGCGGCCGACGAGGTGTTTGAGGTCTTGCCACAATCGGCGGCAGCAACGGCAAAGAGTGGCAGCCGGCAACAGGATGAAGTGAATGTCTTGGCGTTTGTAACGCCCAATGCGACAACAGGTGAGCGCGAATATGGGCGACGGGTTGCGGGCTGCGGGGTGCGCGGTGGTCTGCTGAAGAGCTGGCAATGAACCGCATGAAATGCCGCATGCCGCAAATATGAAAGATTTGCACTTTGATTTTGTTTTAACCGCCAAATGCCGACATAATTGACACGGCCGCAAGATCGCGAGACGAGACGCAATCACCCCACCTGTCCAGCTCTTTGCTCTGGTTAGGCTGCCTCGCGTGTGCAGAGGATCAGGGGCTGGCGGCTGGCTATTGGCTATTTTAATGGCCAGCATTAGGAGATCGAAACAATTTTAACGCAATCATGCGCGGTATTTTAATGTGGTGCAGCAAATGAAAGTGAAAACAACTTGAATGGTGCGGCAATTATGCAAGGATAAATGAGCTGCCTGGCTGGCTGGCTGCCAGGCCAAAAACATATTTCCAGCTGCGCTTGGAGAGCGTAGGCAGAGTCCCGCCCAGCGGCATTTAATCTATGCCAATTTATACGCGTCCAGCTTCCAGCTCAAAAGCAATTGAGCCAAACAAATCGAAAATTGCCAGCGCCTGGCCAGCAGATCTAAATGCACGAGTCTCACATTTCCGCCAAGTGCTCAGTTGCCAGTCCAAGTGCAGGTCCTCACCTTGATCGACGTCGCATTCAAATGGAAAGCGATTTGTCTGGTCTTGGCTAATAACTTATGCGACTGCCTCCAAGACGTAGCTGCCGAGTTCCCAGACGCTGGCTTAGACTCAGTCGCCGTCAACACTGCCGCCCGTTGATCAGTCAATCTGGCGATGCCAAGTTGTTTGTCTGGCTGTGATCTTCCAGTTGGTTGCCAGGTTCGCTAAGTTATGTCTGCCAGCCTGCGGCCTGCAGCTTGAACTCTGTGTGAACTCGGCTTTATTGCACGGCCTGGCATTAACAATGGCCCACACTTTGCCTGGACTCCAGGCTATCTGCAGTGGATTGGATCAAGGGGTCGGCCAGCTAACCTAATGCTATTCAGCATCTGCATCTGAACTTAAGAGCAGGCTGCACATCATCATCATCATACTTATATATATATATATTATATATCATTTTAAAAGTTTTTAGTTTTTCTCAAGTTCTTAATATTGATGGGATTATATATATACTAAATGTTTGATCTCAGAGTTTTCTCTGAAGTTGCCCAAGTCCAATTTTTTTTTTTCAATTTCCGTAATTGACGAACTTCTTGCTTCATTGCAGCACCACGGTTGGATCCCAATAACAACAACGAGTGGCGACCTTTGGGCCACGGCGATCCGCTGCAAAAGGATCCCACCTATGATTACAGTCCACCCGCGCTGGATCGTGTGCGCTACTGGGCGGAGAACAATGCGAGCAGCCAGGATGCCAGACAGAAGCTGCCGGCGGAGTTGCTGCGCAACAAAACCAAAAGTGACATCCTATTGCTGGGCGTGCCCGGCGAGCGGGAACGCTCGCGGCCGAAGCAGCCGCTGACCAAATACGCGCCCATACGCAGAAGCTACTATGCTCCTCCCCAGCAGCAGCAGCAGCAGCAGCAGCAGCAGATGCAGCACATGCCGCACACACACCTGATGCCGCCGCCAATGCTGATGAAGGGCATGGCTCACGCTCACGTGGAGTATCGTCACAATGTCATGAACTCACCGAGCAGCTCGTCCTACATGAGCTACAGCTCTGGCAAACCGTCCAGCTCCACGCATTACTACAGCAGTCCGTCGGCCGCGACAACGTCCTGGTACAGCCACTCGCCCAGCATGTCCAGCATGTCCAGCATGCCGCAGCGCATGAGCTATGCGGACGCACATCACCAGGAGTCCATGCAGCACTATAGCCTCTCCAGGCCGCAGCCCGTGAGCTATGCGCCCAACTCGATTCATCCCGCCCGCAAACCCTGGCTGCACGAGCTGCTGCAGAAGGAGCTGGTGGTGAAGCCCACCATGAAGCAGCGCATGAAGCCCACCATGCCGGCCACCAAGTATCTGATGGGTACCACCAGGCCGCAGCTGCCGGCTGCCGGGCCCACCCACGCGCCTTTGAACTATGCGCCGGTGACCTTTGTGCCTGGTCCGCCCACTGTGGCTACGCCTACAACGAGCAGCACGCACCCCGAGCTTTATATCACGCCAACCACGCTGATGTCCACGGGCAGCTCCGGCTTTCGACCCATGCTTGGGTCGACAACGACGAGTACTACGACAGCCGCGCCCATCTATCAGCGTGCGGAGACAGCGTCGACGACGAGCAGCTCCCGGCTGATGATACCGCAGACGAGCAATCTGGCGCAACGACCCACAGTGGCACCCGCCCCGGAACTAACCACCGATGCGCTCTTCTCGCACTACAAACAGCCGCCGAAGCCGCTGCTGGGACCGATGTACCTCATCATCGAGGGCCACTCCAAGGTCAAGACCTATGGCCAGAACGAGCTGGATCCGCACAGTCCCAAGATAGTGCCCGTCATCTCGAAGCGGGAGCCGGTGGTGCGCATTGCCGATCCCAACGAGAAGCGCGGCACCGTCGAGACCTACCAGGTCAAGCATTTGCATACCAAGACGATGCCTCTGACGACAACAACCTCCACGACGACGACGACGACGACGACAACGACAACGACGACACCGAGACCAAGCACTGAGAGTAGTTCGGTGAGTTCCAGCACCGAGATGCCGGTGCCGGGTGGCGGCGTGCATGATCTGCTCAGCTTGCTGGACAACATGTTTGCCGAAGCGCACGATATGGCCACAACGACAACGGGCAGCTCCTCCCTGGCCACGCCCGCGGCGAACAGCGGTAGCACCGTCTTAAAACCGGTGACAACAGCCAAAACAAAGCTGCAGCCACAGCTGCCGGAGCCGCGCATTGGCAGCCAGGCGGGCAGCATCGAGAGCCAACTGGAGGCGGAGGTCACAAAGGGTTCACAGTTCGCGACCAGCACGGAACCCGAACAGCCGCCGCGCGCCACCCGCCAGATCTTTGACTATGATCAATTGCCCGAGTCGCGCATTAAGACCGAGGACGAGCTTGACTACGAAGCCGATTATGACGATGACGCTGATGATGCGAATGATGATAATGACAAACTGGAAGATGTGAGTGAAGATGAGACGTCAGAAAGTGAACATAATTTACTCAAACGCATCGATAAATTTGTCGATGATGTGGATGATGGAGACGATGATTTGGACGGTTTGATGGAGGATCTGTCGCCTGGCAATGACAATAATGACAATGATGCTGACGATGATGATGCTGATGATGTTGATGATGATGATGAGCACCGTTAACATCGAAAATAATATTTCTCTTAAAACTGCGCTCTATACCAAAATCTATCAGAAATTTTTCTTACACCTAAAATATTTAAATGTAAATAACTAAGCTTTAAAGGAGTTGATCGTTGGCCGTTAGCTTTTAAAATTGCAATTATCGCATATATCTTGTTTTTTAGTTGTTAAGTGTGCAATAAAAATATAATTTATGTAAGTGGTTCATGCCATTGCTAGCTTAGAAAGCAGCTGGCAGCAACGTGCAGCGAATACCTCAACCTGTTCGAAACAACAAGAGTTGCCTTAGCAAAGACTCAGACCGCACACAGATCGAAAGTATTGCTTACACTCTACTCTTCTACACTGCTGTTGTGCTCTCTTTGGTTTTTGCAACTGCAAAATATCAAGCCAACTGGATATTGTTGCGTGCTCACTGCGTTGGCTCTCTTTCACTATCGCACCGCTTGTACCCGTGCCCACATGTATGTACATGGCCGCTCTGCAGTTTTGCTTTGTTTATTTCTGTTTCGATTTTCCAAGCAGCAGTTGAGAATTTGACGTCGAAGCGAACGGTAAAACAGACCGCTTCCAACGTTCTCTGGAAGAAGCTCCATGCGCGTCGTGGGTGACAAATATCAACAACAACACAGCAACACAGCTAAATTGTACGTCAAGTGCTTAAATTAACTTGAGAGTGTAAATTCCAGTCAAATTAGATGTACTAAAATTTGTGAGTGCAAATCAACGCATTTAGGCGATGATTTTGTGCGTTTTATTCATTTGTTATTTCCAAAGCAAAATTGACCGCTTAAAAAGGCTTTTAGCGTTTTATTTTGTTTTTGACTTCGCTTTCGCTTTTGTTTGCATATAAAATAGAGCGAGCAAGAGAGAGAGAGAGAGAGAGATAAACAAGAAAGCAAAGTTGAAAGACCCAAGCATTGAAGTGTAAAGTGTTGCAGTTTTCTCTCCTCTCCCTCTCTCTCTCTCTCTCTCTCTTTCCAATCGACACACAAGTAACTATAGCAACTACAAGAATTACCCAAAACACGTGTAACATACGCATTAATGTGACAAACTCTAAAAAAAAAAAAAACAACTATGCAACTCACCCGCACATTTGGACTTTGAAAGTGTGACTAAAAGTGTCGGCGCCGCATAAAATTCTGATCGGACTCTGTACGTATACAAATGTATGCGTGCGTGCTTGAATAACCTTGATTTGTCTGCTAGCGTCGTGTTAAAGAGCCATATTAAACATACGAAATAAAGCGTTTTTGTTTTTGTTGCTGGCTGTTAGCTGTTAGCTGTTCGTCGTCTCGTTAAACAACAACAAGAAAATATAAAACCAAGCAAACTTCTAAGCCAAAAGACAACAAACAGGTTCGGCGATCGGGCGTGCAAAACACACAAAGAGAGCACAGATAACGAGTGAAAGAGAGGATTGCGAACAGCAAAAAGGGCATAATGCATAGCAAGACCAACTCATAGCAAGACCAACTGCAAAACGTCATGTTGAACTATGTAAAAAAACAAAAACGCTGATATGTTTGTTACGAGAGTTTATCAGCCAAATGTCAGACATTGCTGATAACGCTTCGGTGCGAGCAGACAGCAGCCGCCGGTTGATAAGCCGCCAAAGTTATACATATATATTTTTTGATGGCGTCGCTTAGCAGCCGTTAACATTGTAATAATGTAATAAGCGCGTCATAGCCGTTCGTCAGAGCGCCCACGCATATGTACATATGTCCAACTAGATTTGCTACAAATGTGTCCAATTTGAATTCCGGCAATGTCTGACGGAACTGAGCAAATGTAAAGCAATTCACGCTTATCGCTGCATCTCACTTGTCTAGGCAACAAAATTGACCTGCATTACTGACCTACTTTACCTGTGTTGCTCAGTTCTCGCCGAAAGACCGATTCGGCGACCGGTTTACGGCTGTAATTAGCTGGCCATGTGCTTCGTTTAATTGCGAGTAAACACAGAAAAAAATGAAATGTATATAAAAAGTGCCTCATTCAATGCACTTTAATCAATTTTCAACAATTGCGTAATATGAGCATATACATAATTCCAATACAGCTGGCCCCATGTCCTCAACAGGCACCTCTTATTGGACTGTATAAGACTACCGATATAAGATATCAAAATGTCAATGCCCGCTTTATATTATAAGTAAATATGACCGCAGCACGCAGCACGCATACACATACAAATACACATACATACGCATGTTAGTTGTAACTGCACATGTGCTGCTGCCCGTACAATTACACCGCAGTCTCATCTTTCTTCTTGTTTCTGATGAGCCATGAAGCCGACTTAATGAAGTCGCGTCACGATGACTCGACTCAATACACACACACACACGCACGCAATGCACGCCGAGCACATGAATAGGATTTGCATTTAGTATATATGTATGTATGTATATATATATAAGACCAATTCAGTGCTTTCCTATCAGATAAACTAACTGTGCGTTTTATCAGATGTAGGAGAAACGTATGAAAAGCTGCGATATTATTCGACGGTCCTTATCATTGTTTACGTACCATAAATTCTAAATATTCAAAAGTATTTTTATTCAATTAACAATTTTTTTAATACTTATTTTTGGTCTACAAATGATGTAGAACATTGTTACTCAAGCACTTAATTTCTGTGATAACCCAACCGAACTGTGATTCAATGCTAGATTTCTTTAAAAATAAACCAGATCATGAATATATATATATATATATTTAAATAAATTTTAATCAAATCCTGCTTAGCGAAGGCGTCATAAATAATAAACAAGTTACGTGAATGCGGACGCATTTCGTATCAAAACTAAAATATAATTATAAATACCAACAAAATGCTTAGTATACAACTTTAGCATAGTCGTGGATAAGTGTGTGTGTGTGTGTGAATGTATAACAAAAAGTGCCGGCAATCAGTTGGAATTCATTTAAGTGCATTAGATTAATGCTTAAAACCAGCTGCCTTATGAGAATGTCCAAAATTGGTTTGTTTGCCTGACTTTCTGTGAATTGCAAAACACAACAACAAAACAATTTAAGTGAAGCTTTAAAAGCAGCTAAAGTTTAATTTAAATCCAATTAGATTTTATCGAAAAGGACGACAACTCTGGAAAACAGCTTAGGCCAATTCGAATGAGACATTAAGCTGCTGAAAATATACTTAAAAAGCTTTTGAGTAAATTTGAAAAAGAGTTATCTTTCTTGATTAATCCAATTAAAACTTGCTGAGATCTAGAATTCAAATTCAAGAAAACTTCAATTTAGCTTAAAAAAAGCAGCACTAGCAACAAACAAAATTGAAAAGCGCTCGAAACAAATTGGCAATTGAAAAACCTTCGAAACTGTTTTGCCAGATTAATCCATGGCTTCCGCTTTCAGGCCATGTCATTGGACAGCACTTGCCAGGCATTCGAAGTCGTTTGCTTAATTTGAATTTGCAATGCAAATTGTGTGATCACCTTGCGTGTTAAACTATGTACTGTACCTAATCTCGCCCATCGCGTAATTCTAGAAACTCAGGCAAACGCTTATCACAGTTCAGCTTTAAAGCCAGTTAACAGCTCCCCCCCTCCTCTCCCTCTCGCTCTCTCTTCCAACTCGGCTGAACTTTAACTATTGCGAAGCAGTTGTTGTTTTATTGTGATTAGTAAAGTGCTTAAAACTCTGGATCTTAAGTAAAACAACTGTGAAATGAATTTCGAAAACAAAAGTTTTGATAGTTCGAAACTCTTCTAGAGGCCCTTGATAATGCCTGCTTTTATGGCAGCTTGCCCCGTTGAGTGCGAATTTTTTTTACAAGGAATGTTTAAAGCAAATCGCCAATTTTTCTTATCAATATATATTGCATTTTTAGTGTCGAAAAAAATGTGCGCGATAAGATTTGATAAAAAAAAAAAGAAGGCAAAAGAAAGGGCAACTTGAAATGGAATCTAATCGAAGTTCTTCCTAACAAACAGCCGGGCAGCAAGCAGAGAAGCAGAGCGCCATGACCGCGACTAAAGATCCCAAGGAGCAGGGCCCAACAACAGCGACGGCGACAAAAGCGCAGCCGGGCCAGAAGAATGGCTCAGCCGGCGGTTTGATGAAGCGTCTGCGACGCTCCGCCTCGGTGACGGAGCACAATTTGAGCAGCCTGCGTGATCGCAAGTCAACGCAGAATCTGTTCGATCAGCACGGCAATCCCATTGATCTGCGGCAGTATCGCAAGGTGCTGGACAAGGACGAGAACGGCAATGGCACCAGCGAAAAGAAGCTACGCTATAGACGCACCCAAAGCGTAACACGCGCCGAGGAGATAACCAACAAGGAGGCCAAACAGCGCAAGGCACAGCCCGATAAGCCGTAAGTGAACAGGATTATGGGAAATCCCAATTGGGACAACTATCTAAGTATCTTGTTGTAGCATACATCGTCCCCGCGACTCGCTCTTCTCCTGGAGCTCGGGCTTCACAAATTTCACCGGCCTGGTCAACTGGGGTTTCCTGCTGCTCTGCATAGGCGGGCTGCGCCTGGGCTTGGAGAATTTGCTCAAGTGAGTGTCAATTGCCAGGTGTACAAGCAGCAAGGTGGGCTCAACTAATAGCTTGTGAATACTTTGCAGATACGGCGTACGCATCAATCCCATTGACTGGTATTTCTTTGTGAGCGGTCGCAACGAGGGCGAAGGTCACAATGCCCTGCTCCTAATCATCTGTAGGTGTGCCTAGGAACCCCAAACGAACTACATTTAAAACCAAAATTCATTTCTTTACAGACTCTTTGGTTCACATATCCCTGTGTCTGGCTGTCGAAAAAGGCTTGGCCCTGGTAAGTAGACTCGCCTCAGGCTTTACTCACTTTGAAGCTTCCTTCTGCCCAGCTGTGCCAAAGGGCGTCCGAATAGGCTCATTAACCTCCTCATATTGCTTCGGCGCGTTTTTCAAGGGTCGATGCCAAAAGATCCTATTTCTAATTTGGTTGTTTCACTCAAAAAAAAAAAAAAATGGAACCCTTTTCGACAGCTGACTCGCAGCAGAGCGGATATGATCTTAACCTACTCCCAAAGTCCCTTTCCAATTCAATTCTATTACAATCAGGGCCGCAAATCCAGTCGATGGTTTAATACTCAGCTCGATCCTAGTCCCATTCTTTAGGCT